AATCCTTGAAATAAAAATTATTGTTAAGAGGAGTAGTAGTAGTAGTAGTAGTAGTAATCCCATTGTGGGAGAAAGGCAGGATTTAAATCCTTGAAACAAATAATAATAATAATAAGTACTACTACTAATAATAATAATAATACTACTAATATATGATGATGATGACGATGATGATGAATGATATACTCATACACTGTAATGACAGTAGTGTAGTCGCATTTCTTCAGTGTGGAGGCCCCTCCCTCCCTCCCTCCCTCCCTCCCTCCCAGCCATGCCCTGCAGGCCGAGCCTTGCCTCAATTAGCACCGCTCCCATTCAGAGCCATGGCTCCCAGCCAGGCCCCAGGCCCCAGGCCCTGACTCAGGAGGGGGAGGAGGGGGAGGAGGCGGGAAGGGCGGCCCTGGCAGCGCTGGTAGCTTTCGCTTTCCCGCCGAGGCCTGCCTTTCCCCGAAGCCACGTGACCCGGGGCTCTTCCCTCCACCGCTTCCTCCTCCCGCCCCTGCCTTCCCTTTCTCTTCTCTCTCTCCCTTGAAGCCTTGCAGGCCTTGGCTCTTTCAGAGCTGGCCCAGAGCAAGCAAGCAAGCACCCACCCCAAAGCCCTCAGAAACGCCTTGTTGCACAGTACCTTTTGGCTACTTATTGATGTTGTTGCAAAGTACCCTTTTCTGTTACTGCAAAGGACCGTCGCACCCAAAATCCACCCAACAGGGATGTCTTTTGAGTTATTCCAAAGCATTTTGTTGTTCTTAATTGCCCTTGACTCATGGTGGCCCTATGGATGAGACACCTCCAGGACCTCCACTGCTCTGCTTAATTCCTGCAACCCCTTAATACCCAAAGTGACCTCCTTAATAGAGTCCATCCATTTGGCATGTGGCCTTCCTCTCTTTCTACTTCCCTCCACCTTTCCCAACATTATTGTCTTTTCTAATGAGTCCTCCCTTCTCATGATGTGTCCGAAGTAAGACAGTCTCAATTTGGTCATCTTGGGTTCCAGGGAGGTTTTGGGCTTGATCTACTCTTGATCCCCTTTGTTTGTCTTTTGGGCTGTCCATGGGATCCTCAGCACTTCTCCAGCACCACTTTATCTGAAAGGAGTTGATTTTCTTCCTATCATCTTTCTTAACTATCCAGCTCTC